AAAAAAAAAAAAAAAAACACAACCCCACAAAGGCAGATAGATAACTAACTGCAGGAAACCCCTTAGATTAAGCATATTTCTATCTACTATACAAATAATTTCTACAACAGATATAAAGCCTTTACTAGATATTAAGTATCTATAAATATCTTAACAGCTCAATTCTTTCTATACCTTGAATATTCCATTACAGAACTGAAAAAGGAATTTTCTTCTTAAACTATCATTGAGATTTAGTGATAAAACATTTCAATGTACCATAAATTTGAGGGGCCATATTTTATACTGCAATTATAGTATTTCCTTTTTTTTTTTAATTTTAATTTTTGGCCTCACCACTTGGTTTGCGGGATCTTAGTTCCCTGACCAGGGATTGAAACCTGGACCTCAGCAGTGAAAGCACGGAGTCCTAACCACTGGACCCCTGGGGAATTCCCAGAACGTAAACAATTTAAACCTGGTGCTTAGAGAAGCCCTTACTGAGAAGGTGACCAAGTGATCCCACACAGTTCTGCTTATGTTCTTTTTCCATTTTAAAATGTTCAGTAACTTGGGCCTATATCAGATTTATAAACTTTATCAGATATACGGGAGACAAAGGCCTACATGGAGAAAAAACCTAGTTCCCTAAAGTACTTTCTCAACTACTAAAGCCTGTGGGCTTTCTGACATTTCCCAGATCTCTAAAGACCATATTTCCTTCTGAGATGATTTTTAAAAAACACAGTAAGGGGACTTCCCTGGTAGTGCAGTGGATAGGACTCTGCGCTCCCAATGCAGGGGTCTGGATTTGATCCCTAGTCAGAGAACTAGATCCCACATACATGCCACAACTAAGGAGCCCACGTGCCGCAACTAAGACCTGGAGCAACCAAAATAGATAAATACATATTATATTAAAAAAAAAAAACCCACAGTAGGTAAACTTTAAAGCATTAAAAAAGAAGAAGAGGGGCTTCCCTGGTGGTGTAGTGGTTGGGAGTCCGCCTGCCGATGCAGGGGACACGGGGTCGTGCCCCGGTCCGGGAAGATCCCACATGCCGCGGAGCGGCTGAGCCCGT